AAACTCTCCACTGGGGTCCCCCGTGACCATATTTACTACACTTTGGTTGTCAACATCCGCGACAACGTTCCGATACCCCAAGTCCAAAGCTAGTTGGAGAACTTGGAATAACCCCCCATAGCTCGGCACCCGTAATCGTAGTATATCCGATATTCATGCGAAGCCTCCAAGCCACTGGCCTCCGTCATCTCGCACAAGTCCTCCCGCCGATGCCATACCTGTGGACCGAATAAGAGAGCCATCCGTATTAATTTTAACCATCTCAGCTGATGGAGCCTTCCAAGCGATCCACCGGGTTTGTCGGCCAACACCTAATCCACCCATAATCCTCTCTGCCGAAACCGCCACATCAATACTTGTAACTATTTTGTCCATTTCTCTCATTTTTTGTGGGGCCACAAATTCTTTATCCCCTAGAAGAGCCTCATTGCGGCCATTCAAATGATATAGCTTTTCATTCAAATGAACGGGTTAAAAGCAGTAGTCTTTATTAAAAAAAAAAAGAAAAAGACATGATTATTCAAAATATAGCTGTAAAATCTACCTCGTCGGTCTATACAAGCATGCCTCCCTCATCATCAATTAATTCTAAAGTAGCCATTTTCACTGTTCACTTTATTCCTCACTCCTCATCAATTAATTCTAAAGTACGTAGCCATTTTCACTATTTTTTTTCACTATCCATCAACACACGCAATCATAAAATTCACTATTCATCAACACACGCAATCATAAACAAGACATGCGAATAAATAATATCGTTTGAAGTTATAGCAGTAAAATCTACCTCTCCTCGCTTTATATAAGCATGTCTGTACATCAATTGATTCTAAAAGTGTAGCCATTTTCACAATTAATTTACTTTACTCACTCTTAAGTTCAGCTCAAATTTTTCACCATGTTCCTTCTTAGCAAAACATCTCATTCACGGCTCATATTAATAATGATCTTAATAATCCATATGTGCTTAGCCTTCTCTCAATACCAGTTTCCTAATAAGACCTTAGTCACACGGCTTACACATTACCAATCCCTCGACTCTCCATATTATGATCCCACCAAAAGCACCAAGGACCTCGCCGACATCGACTTAACGAGCTCGATTTCCCGTGCATTCTACTTGACCACCAACACCAGCAACGGCACCACCTCCATTGAGCCGACGGACATCGAGTCCCAACTGACTCCCGGAAAACTGAACGGCTTCCTTGTCCACCTCCAGGTTGGGTCGAACCAGGTCGACCAGTACGTGTACATGGACACTGGGAGCAGCTTGCTCTGGGTCAATTGCGAGCCGTGTGGAGTCGACGTGCCGTGGCCCAGACTCGACCCCAAGGACTCCTCGAGCTTCAAGGTAGAAGGTTGCGACTTCACCAGCGTTTGTGATGACTCGGGCGCCATCAAAATCGACTGCGAGGACGAGAATTACGACGTCAAAGGTTGCAAGTACGAGGTCGCGTACGGGAGTGGGTACAGCCGAGGGAATCTCGCCATTGAGACGTTCACGTTCAAAAAGGTGGCCGATAGCAACGAGACCCTCACGGGCGTCGTGTTCGGGTGCGCGCATAGCACCAACTTGTTCATGAACGGGATCCTCGGGCTGGGCCACGGGCCCTTGTCCCTCTTCTCGCAGTACAGCGCGGCCAAGTTCTCGTACTGCATAGGGAACAGGAGCGACAGGTCGTACGCCCACAGCATGCTGATCGTCGGGAACAAAACCGAGCTGTGGGGCCCACAGACCCCTTTGGTCGTCGAGGACAAGTACTACGTGAACCTGGTGGGGGCTGCCATCGGGGAGACCAACCTGGAGCTCGACCCGAAGATGTTCAGGAGGAACAGCGACGATTACACGGGCGGTATGGTGGTGGACAGCGGCACGACTCTCAGCTTTATCCCACAGGTGGCGCTGACCAGCTTTGAGGACACAACAAGGCACTTGATTGAAAATGAGCTGGGCCTTAATCTGCGACCAAATGACACCATTGCTTACGGGCCTTACACGAGGTTGTGTTATAATGGGGTCGTGACGAGGGACTTGGAGAGGTTCCCGAACGTGAAGCTATCTTTCGAGGGCGGAGCAGTGATGGAGCTAACCCCGGACAACATATTTCAGCAGGTCGACGACCACAACTTCTGTTTGGCGATCCTGCCGTCCGAGATTATGAAGACGACAATTAGCATCCTTGGAAATTTGATGCAGCAAAACTTTTATATAGCTTTCGATGTTGAGGCCAAGAAATTGTCGTTCAAAAGGATGAAATGCAAGACTGTCGAGGATTATTATGATCGCGACGTGTAATTATAGTTAAATCATTTGTACTCACTTTCGATATGGTAATATTCATGATGAATAAGATCTTAAGTATATTTAGTAGCTTTCGATGCTTGGTTATGCTCGCCTTGTTGGATCACTCAGACAAATTGAACAAGTAGGTAAGTGACGAAAAAGACTGTGATGCAAGAACACGTAAATCTGTGAGATTACTGCACCAATATTAGAAAAGCTACTATGTAAGAATGGTGAAGTGATCTAGTTGATCAACAAGACAAAAGTTACATTCACTGATGTCCAGAATTTGAGCAAACAGACTGGTAGTATGGACCTCAGTAATGATGTTATTAAAGCTGAAAGGTAAGGTTTCTGAAGCCAATTCTTCACAAAGTGATTCTGCCCCAGTCATTTGTGAAAGAAGGTTATGTTATAAAAGGTAAAAATAGTAAGACAAACTTTGTGCAAGAACATTGCTAGGCCTATGTTAAGAACTTTCTTCCTACTTGTCACTACTGTGATATTGTCGATCATATTCGCTCTAAGTGTTACATAATGCATAATGATATTTAGTCAGTTCGTATTGATGACTGGAGTCCACGTGGTGTCTAACCGCACGTCGCTACGCGACAAATTTAATTTTGTAAACTTTTCCTCCAGTGACCTCTACTAACTGGTAGTAACGGTGTGAGGATCGATCCAACGAGGTGCAGGAATTAAATCGTGACAATTTTGCATTAGTTGAACTAGAACTACGAAAACAATAAAAAATGGGGAATTGGATTTATAAAAATAAAAATCAAAATCAAATAAAATGCGAGAAGACCATATTTTCGGTTCAATTATCACCTAATATAGATCCACCTCAAATAATTTCGACGTCTTCTTTATATTGCTGATGAATTACCAACCCTAGCTAACAACAAACTCTGTAAATTGAATTTCCCCTTACCGAATATTTAATCAAAATAAGCTCTTCGATTAAACCTAACTAATGGACAAGTTAGAATAAGTTCTCTAGATTTAATTCACTGGCTACATTAACTTTTAGGAAAATAAATTATTCTAAACAACAAACGCAAAATTTGGACCATTTAACTTATGTGTTGATATTTGAGTATCATTATGCTCTTATACTGACTCCAGGTTAGTAAATCAATATTAAGAGCTGATCGATATTGGTAGAATGACGTGAAACAACAAAACGTTGGATGAATTGACCTGGATGTGCGATGAACGGGAGTTTAACAAGCTTTGCATGTGTGTGAATGATGACGGATGGGACGTCACCACCTTATCCCTGCAAGCCTATCGAGCCTAGCCACCTAGAGCCAAACGTCGCATTTAGTGCGCCCCATACCAATTTGATGTTTGATAGTGTGCCGATGAATAGTAATTGGTGAATCGTTTGATATAAATAATGTACTAGAATCCCTGAGAGAAGGTTGTTGAAATTACAGAGACAAAAATTCCCCTATATTTACCTAAGTCTGACCTAGTTTGCAATTTCTCTATTTCTGGAATATCAATCTCTTCTCCTGCTAGACGCCTGAAGAAATCTAAAGAAATCTGATAAAAAAACATCATTTAATCTTCAATTGACCGTTGATAAAAAAGCGTTCGTCAACATCTTGACGCTATAGGAAGGATGTTGAGCTGTTAAAGATGTACAAGCTGTTGCCATGCACCTGAACGTCTTGAAGAAAGCTTGAAGTCGTTTTTTTTTTTTATTTTCCCTGTTGTTTCTCTGCTGTTTTTATTATTAGTGCCATTTACTAATAGACTCGCATTAGCGTTTTCATTTCTTTTATCTGAATTCTGATCCGCTACGTGTCAAGCGGTGATTGGTTAGGGCTATTTTGTTTTACATGCATGTATTTGTACCTTTCTCTCCCACACGAGATGTGTGTGAAATTCAGATATTTTCAAAGAGCTTGATGCTCCGTTAATGGCAGAAAATCGTTCTAAAAATTTATTTTCCATTTTCTAAGATTTTACTCAAATCTACATGGTATCGAGAGCGGGTTAAGTAATCGATCATGGCGAGAAACAAAGATGACTCAGGAAAAGAGATCACGCGTTCGTACTCGAGAGATACAGATCCACTGTCGCTTTATAGATCAGATCACCCTGGGATGGTCTTGGTCACAAATCATCTCACTGGCAGCAACTACTTGCACTGGAGCAGAGCTACGAGGCTTGCGCTAGGGGCGAAATCGAAGCTCGGCTTCATAAATGGAACGATGGTGATACCCGAGCCAAACACCGAGGAGTTCGATCAATATGAGAAGGTAAAGTTCATGGTAATATCCTGGCTACTTAATTCTATTTCCAGAGAAATCGTTGAATCATTTACATATGTGAAAAGTGCAAAGCAACTTTGGGATGAATTAGCTGAGAGGTTTGGTGAAAGTAATGGTCCTCTAAGGTACCAGTTACAGAAGGAGATTTCAAATTTTGCTCAAGGATCATTAACAGTTACAGCTTATTACACTAAACTTAAATGCTTATGGGATGAGTACTCGAGTTTGATCTCCCTGCCTGAATGTGTGTGTGGGACTGGAAAAGCTTATTCTGAAAATGATATGGAAATTAAGCTTATGCAATTTCTCATGGGCTTGAATGAGGTCTTTGAGCCGATTAAGAACCAAATCCTGCTTGTGGAACCTCTGCCAACTGTTAACAAGGCATATTCAATGGTTTTAAAAATTGAGAAGCAGAAAAGTGTGGCTATAGGAATGTCTAATCCACTGGAAACCACAACTATGATGATAAGGGGGAATTTTGGTAGAGGAGGAGGTAGAGGTGCAGTTTTTGGACGTGGTCAAGGGAGAGGTCCTCAGAATCAAGCTTATAACAACATGGGAAGAGGTAGAGGGTTTCAAAGACTGTCTAAAGAAGAGAGAGCAAAGCTATACTGTACCCACTGTGGATTCAATGGACATGAGGTTCAAGGTTGCTTTAAAATCAACGGGTATCCTGATTGGTATAAGGAACTTAGGGAACAGAGGCAAACTCAAAATGTGAACATGGCTGAGGGTGATGATTCATCCAAAGCAGATTCTGAAGCAAAGTCTCAGCACAGTGATAGCTTATATGACATAAGCTATTTAATACAGAAGGAGGTGGCAAGATACACTTCTGGGCAACATGAGGCAGAAACACACACATTCTCATACCTGGTGGAGTGTAGCATTGCAAAGCAAGACTTTGCATTCTCTCTCTTCAATAGATTAAACAGGAGGAGTTGGATCATTGATACTGGGGCTAGTAAACATATATGCTCAGACATAGAGTTAGTGAAAAGAAGCTATAAGATTTCTGCACCTATAATTGTTAATCTGCCTGATGGAGCAAAGGTTGAAGTGTCAAAGATAGAAGAGGTGTACTTGAATGACAAGATTGTGCTTAAGGATGTTCTAACCATACCAGAGTTTAAGTATAATTTACTTTCTGTGGGACAGTTGGTGGAAAACAGTGATTTGTATTTCAATTTCAACAAGGAGAAATGTGAGCTGAGAAGTTTGAGAAATGACCAAATCTTTGTTGTAGGAAAGATCATAGAAGGTCTGTATGTCTTGGAAGGTGAAGATTCTTTTGCAAATGTGGCAAAATGTGGAAAGCATGAAGGGGTTGAATTGGAACTTTGGCACAAGAGACTTGGACACAGCTCATCCACATGCTTGAAACACTTACATTTCTTAAAAGGAATATGTGCTCAACAGGAGCTAGGTATATGTGACATATGTCACAAAATCCAAGCAATGCAGGCTTCCTTTTCCCCCAGCCAGATACAAAGCAAGAGCCCTTTTGAGTTAATGCATGTAGATGTATGGGGACCTTACCATGAAAAGTCAGTCACCAACACCTCATACATGTTGACAATTGTTGATGACCACACAAGGGCTACCTGGATCTTTCTGATGAAGTACAAGACTGAGACTTGTGGTCACTTAAAAAATTTCATCAAAATGGTGGGGACACAGTTTGACAAAAGGGTGAAGGCTATAAGGACTGACAATGGCACTGAATTCATCAACAAGGAGGTGACTGGACTGATTGAAGATAATGGGATTTTACATCAAAGGACCTGCCCCTACACACCCCAACAGAGTGGAGTGGTGGAGAGAAAACACAGGTCAATCTTGGAGGTGGCTAGAGCTATATCATTTCAAGCAAAGCTGCAAAAGAACCTGTGGCCTTACAGTTTGCTGGCTGCAGTTCAAATTATCAACACCTTACCAAGTGAAAAACTTGGTTGGAAAAGTCCTTATGAGATATTGCATGGAAGGTTGTCTGCTTATGACATGCTGAAAATATTTGGTTGTTTATGTTATGCTAAGATGACTGCACCACACAGAAAGAAATTTGATGAGAGGTCTGTCCCTTGTGCTTTTTGGGTTACATCTCAGGCATCAAAGGTTACAGGGTGTATGATTTGGCAACCAAAGAAGTTTTTGTGTCTAAAGATGTGTCATTTTATGAGATGAGGTTCCCTTTCTCAGAGGGTACAGAGGTCACAACTGAAATTCCTCATCCAGTCCCTTTGTCACTGGTTAGTGATGACAATGAGGACATTGAGGAAGACACTCAAAGAGAACTTGAAACTCCACACAACATAAATACAAGAATGAGTACAAGGGAGAAAAGAGCACCCAGGTGGATGAATGATTATGTGGTGAATACCTTAAATATCATGGATACTCAGGAGGAGCTTGGAGCCTTTGTTGCAGAAATTGATAAAACACTCACTGAACCATTGTACTATGAACAAGCAGTCAAAGACAAAAGATGGATTGATGCCATACAAAGAGAGTTGGAGGCACTTGAAATTAATGATACCTAGGTTCTTACTCAATTACCAGCTGGGAAAAGAGCAATTGGTAGCAAATGGGTGTACAAAATCAAGAGGAATCCTAATGGCAGCATAGACAAATTCAAGGCCCGGTTGGTAGCAAAGGGATACATATAGAAGGAAGGGATAGACTTCAATGATAGTTTTTCTCCTGTGGCTAAAATGGTGTCTGTGA